AGAAGGGGGTGTACTGGCCATGGTTCTGGCTCTGCAGCAAGATCACCTGGGTTCAAATCTCAGTGCCACCGTTTACTAACTGTGAGTCACGAGCCCTGTGGGCCTCAGTTCTGCCCATGTCTGATAAAAGCCATGTCTGTCTCATTGGGCTGTCAGGAAGATGAAGTGAGGTAGTGCATACAAAGCACCAGAACTGGACCTGGAACCCATGCTCCTCTATATATGGGAGCAGCTAAAACCATTGTTGTCAGTGTTATTATTATTAATAACCCCAATCACCTCCTAACTTGTTACCAAGCATGGCAGATCTTTATGTCTGTAAGTTGATCCTTATGTCTGAATCCTCTCCAGCTCTATGTCAATATTAGTTTCCACATATGATTTCAATTTATCAGCCTAAGCCATAGGCCAACTTTTTTTTCCCCTGTGACCCTCTTTTTTTTCCCCCCATTTTTTTGTTCAGATAGAATGGAGAGGGAGAGAGAGGGAGAGGGAGAGGGAGAGGGAGAGGGAGAGGGAGAGGGAGAGGGAGGGAGAGAGAGAGAGAGAGAGAGAGAGAGAGAAACATCGACGTGAAAGGGACACATCGAGTGGCTGCCACCCGCAAGACCCAACCAGGGCTGGGGACAAACTGCAACCAAGGTACATGCCCTTAGTGGCAACCGAACCCGGGTCTCTCTGGACTGCAGGCCAACGCTCTAACCACTGAGAAACCGGCCCCTGTGACCCACTTTTAAAGGCTGGTGTAACCTTCTATTCATTTCTGAATGTGAACCAAAATGGATCTAGAACATCAAGACTCAGAAAAATAAGTGAGGCCAAAGGCACGTGGAGGGGTTGCTAGCTCCATGATTTGCACCTGGCTCTGCTACAGACTTCTGTAATGCTGAGAGGATGGGGTCTGAGAAGGGAGGGGTGAGGGCATGTCTACAGCGGGCTTGAAGAAGCCGAGGGAGCCAGTTCTAGAAATGGCACCCTGAGGAGAAGGACAGCAGAAGGCCCAGCGAGGCACACAAACCATATTCCAAAAGCAGCAAGAGAGTGAAGAAAATGACCGAGAGGAGTTGGAACCACGTGAGGATACATTTGGAGCCTCTACCACACACACCAGGAAAAGGCAGATGATGAGGGCATGGTGATGAGGAAGACATCAGGCAGGAGATGGGACAGGAATGGGTCACCTCCACCCTGACAATGCTCCATGCCTATCTTGAGTCCATCCCAAATTCATAAAGTTAGATGTGCGAAGAGAAAATATTTCTATGAAAGAGGCATAAACCTAGGGATAATTTTGGCCTCTTCACTTTTCTTCCTCACCACACCCCCTAAATTTCTCTATTAACTGCCACCAACAAGAACTCATATCCTAAATTCTCCTCCCACCTGCCTATAACTCCACCTGGGAGCATTTCAGGTCTGACGTTTAAAATGAAAAAATAAGCCCTACAAGTTTGTCCTCAGCTATGACAAAGAAAGGGCAGCTGAACAGATACTGTCTGGCTACATCCAGAAACACAAGGGGGATGGCCTCAGAGAGGGAAGGCAGGCAGGTTGGGGGTCCGTGGCATCTCCTGCCCCAGGGCTCAGGGTGCCCCTCCCACAGACCTCCCTCTGCGCCATGATGCTGCAGGACCTGAAGTCCGCCAGCAGCCTATTGAGTCCACATCTGCAATATGTGTCCTGCCTCAGGTGTCTTCCACAGGCAACTGGTTTCATCAAACACTACCAGGTTGGCATCCCGGCCTGTCTCTAACTGCTCCTGAGACAGGAGAGGTCCACTTAACACTGGAGTAGAACAAAAAGTTTAACAAACACTAAAAAAAAACAAAAAACAAAAACTAACCTAGTACTGTATCTGTTCTACATCAATCAGAGAAAGTGTTCTTTTGCCTTCTTTTACTGTCTTAGGAGACTCTATATTCAATCTCTTTCTTTCCTTCTCCTTCCCCTTCCCCTTCTCCTTTTCCCTTTCCCCCATAAGAAAACAAAACCGAAGAAATAGAAGAAATGTCTGGGAGATGAGGGAGAGCTGGCAACAAAAACAGGTCCTAGGTGTCAAGTTTGCAGGGACCTAAGTGGATGGGGTGATATTTACTGCTTGGCTCGGTCATAGTGATTACAAGAGGCTTCTGGGCAGCTGAGAGGAAAAGTTAGGTAAGCCTTCGGATTTAAGGTCTGCAGCTCCAAAGAACTCGAGGTGGGAGATACAACCTGAGCATCATCTACCTGAGGATTTTTTGTGTATGTTCCACCAACAGTCAACTGCTTGGACCCGTGCTTTCCTTGGAAGGCTGATCAAAACAACCCCATTCTAAAAAAATGGAATGCTTATCTTTTCAATGAATTCGGTAGTGTAATCACGATTGGGGAAAAAATACAGCACGAATGTGCACAACATGTTTACTGCCACGGAAGTCTATAACGGGAGAACCACAAGAATAAGAATAGCTACGTAGTGATTATAAATAACCATCAGTAAACCAGAATTGCTTAATTTCAGGATATGACACATGAAAATGGAGCAAATGTTTAAAAGTAAATCCATTTTTCAAATTTAAATTTTAATAGTGATATTCAAAGACATTTATAAAGTGGAACAGATGTAATTCAGGTGAGCAAATCCAAATAACATGTTATTGATTTTCTCCATGTCCCTGGACTTCCTGCCCACAGTGTAGAAGGAGGAGGCAGAGGACAAAAGTCAAAGCTAGGAGGTTAACAGGTGTCCGGACAGACCTTTACAAAGAGTATGATCAGCACCTGGTGTGAGCATTTCCTGGTATGAGAAGGGGGTGCCCCTGTAACAAGGTTTCCTCATTCACCTCTGCTCCCCTAATGATAATCATTTTTAATGCCTTTCTAAAACCCATGTCCATATAGCTTTACAGTCTCGAGATTTTACAGGAATTGTCAAACTGCCCTACCCACTGGTCTCACCAATTCACAGTCCAGTCTACGAAGAGACCACGCCCATTTCCCCACATCACTAATCTACTGTGTGAAAAAGGATCCTGTTGCTTTAGTCTGAATTTCTATCATTAGCAGTGAGGTGAGAAACCTTTTATATAAAAGATTAAAAAAATATATAATCATATATTTCTTACTCTCCAGCTAAGATTCCTGCTGCCCATTTTTCCATACCCCAGCTTATCTTTTTCTTACTGATTTGCAGTATGATTTCCTATGAGACGGGTATTAGTCCTTAATCTGTTACACATATAAAATGTGTTTGTTTTTTCATTACCTAAACGTTTTTAAATTGTTGGAGATCAAAACTTTAAGGCTTCTGAGTTACATGGCATATTTTGAAAGGACTAGGCTACTTTATTTATTTATTTATTTATTTTTTTTTCCTTTATTGATTTTTCAGAGGGAGGAAGTGAGAGAAACATCAATGAGAGAGAACATCGATTGGTCGCCTCCTGCATGCCCCACACCGGAGATCAAGCCCACAATCTGGGCATGTGTCCTGACCAGCAACCTCCTGGTACATGGGTCGACACTCAACCACTGGACCACATGGCCGGACTAGGCTACTATCTTTACATATTAAACTCCCTCTGTTGTTAAAGATGATGCCACTTACCCCTAAGATAGATAAATGCTTTGGCCCAGGTTTCCATCTATGGCTCTAGGTTGTGTGCTTGGCCCCCAGAACAGTCCCTGTAAGGCTACTGACATAACTTACTCCACCCCGCCTCAACTCGTTCTAGTCAAACTAGATCATAGACTCCTTGTCTTCATGCCTAATACTCTATATTTTTCTTGGCAATTCAAAAACATGCTGTGGGAACTTTAGACTTGGAAGGGACCCTCCTTTTGCAAAAAGGGGAAACTGAGGCTTCTACCCTCCTGGACTCTCATGATTTGGACACCACTGGAGAGAAGAGAGTTGTGATCTCCAAAGTCGGCAGGGCCAGGGCTGCCCATGTCCTGTGACTCCCGCTCCTAACCGGCCTAGGAGGCATTACAAACCTGAACCACATGTCGTCCACCCCTCGGCTCCACCACCATTTCCTTCCGGACAGGTCCATGTGGCCCACCCTGCTAAGTCTCCATCTCCTGAGCAACAGACCCACATCAGCAGTTGGTTCAGAAAAGTCTCCATCTGCAAATCTCACAGGCAACTGAAACTCAAGATGTTCAGAACAAAACACTGCCATCGTTCCAGCACTTGCTCTGCCTCCGATTTCCTCATGGTTCACGGCAGCATCACAACCACGAGCAGCACAGCCTGAGCCCTGGAAAACCACAGACAACTCCCCCTCCTGCTCGCTCGTCTACATGCAGTTGGCCGCTGTGTCCTGTCAAATCTCTCTCTTGAACTCGCCCAAGTCTCCTTCCTCTCCCCTGCCACCCTCTCAGCGCACCCCCTGCTTCCTAGTGACCACACCCATGTCCAGGCTGCCCACTGTCTACATCAACAGCAGGGCCATCTGGCTAAAGCACAAGGCTGGCACACCCTTCCCCTGCCCAAAACCCAAGGTCCCATCCTCTGACCCGGTGGTTTTCACAGGGAATGGTAGGCCTCCTGGAGAACATTTTGGAAGTTTGGGGGTGGCACTTTTTTAAAAAATATGGGGAGAGAGATAGAAACATTGATGAAAGAGAATACTGATTGGCTGCCTCCTGCATGCCCCGCACTGGGGATTGTCCCACAACCTGGGCATGTGCCCCAGCCAGAAATCAAACCAGCAACCTCTTGGTGCATGGGTCAACATGCAACCACTGAGCTACACCGGCCAGGCTGGGGTGGCACTTTTAGTTACCACAATGACTGGAAGGTCACTACTGTGGGTGAAAGCCAGGCAAACTCGATACCTACAGAGTACACGGTGGCCCCACAAAGAATTGTCCTGATTCCCACGCAATGGTTGAAAATCCCGCTGGATAGTGTTCGTAGATGAAAAGTCTGTTGTCTTTAACGATCTGAGACTAGAATTTCACTTTGCTTTCCATTTAAACAAAAAATAATTTCGCACAGTTTAATATACACTGACTTTTCCAGGACTGCGCTCCTGTGTAAATCACGGGCGGTCCACTGCCAGGAAACGCTTTCTCAGCATGGCTGCTGAGCACACCTGCATCAGGATCACCTGGGGTAAGAGGAGCATGTCTGCTTAAAAATGCAGCCTCCCAGCCCTGGCCAGTTTGGCTCAGCGGTTAGAGCGTCGGCCTGCAGTCCTGAGAGACCTGGGTTCGGTTCCCGCTAAGGGCGCGTACCTCAGTTGCTGTTTGTCCCCGGCCCTGGTCGGTTGTGCGGGTGGCAGCCACTCGATGTGTTCCTTTCACATCGATGTTTCTCTCTCTCCCTCCCACTCTACCTGAACAAAAAATGGAAAAATGTCCTCGGGTGAGGATAAAAAATAATAATAATAATAATAATAACAAATGCAGCCTCCCAGGCTATATCCCAGACCTACCCGATCGGTCTGCATTTCAACACCCAGGCCATTCACTTCTTTTGCTCACTCAAGGATGAGAATGATTGTGTGAGAGACTGCGGAACCATGTTCTGGAAAAGACTGTTAGGCGAAGGGTGAGCTCACTAGGAAATCGTTCCCAGTTGATTAGTAATGCCTGCATGGTGGCTGGAATGGGGCACTAGAAAATTGTTTCCAGTTGATTAGTAATGCCTGCATCGTAGCTGGAGGGGGCACTGGATGCAGATACATTTACACAAGAGAATCCCTACTCATCTTGTACTTTTTCTGGGAGAGACTCTTCACCCTCCTTCCCTCCCTAGCCAAGGCACCATCTAGCACTCTCATGCTAACATAACAGTTTTCCAGGGCATCTTTGGGGACGCAGGGACTTTGTCTTATTCATTCTGTTCTCCTTACAACTAGCCTCCTCTTTGCCTAGCTAATAACCAGAATTCAATAAATACGCAGCAAATAAAGAAATGATTTAAAAAAAGGATAAAGCAAATACAGAGTCAGTTACTGGAGAGGACAAGATGGCATACCTGTCTCTTCCCCGACACCATGTTGCCTCCCACTAAGAGCCCTGGGTCTCAAAAAGACAAGGAAAGACGGGCTGACAAATGAAGACTGGCAGCAGAGCCTCCACTCCGCACCAGCTGTGTCTGGGCGTCTGGGACGGAGCCCCGCGGGCCAGCGGGCGTCCTCGCTCAGGAGCAGCACACTGCTGGGATTAGCAGACAGCTGCAGAGACACCCACACGGGGCCGTCCCAGCCAGTGGAGGTGCTGTGTGTTTGTGGGAGAAGAAAACAACAACAAAAAAAACACCTTGCACTGTGCTGATTTTCTTTATCACTGGGAGGAATGGTGTTTTTTAGGGAGTGGGGGACACCAAAGAGGCTTATTTGACAAATAAGCACAATATGTTCGCCTGAGCTTTGTGTGTGTATGTGAAAATCCTCACATGAGCCGGGAGTTTTCAAATCCACCGGGAGGAGACTCCGTAGACAGGAAAATAAAACCCCAGGATGAGGAGCATGCAAATTAACCCTGGATGCAGGCGAAGAACCAGTGCTGACAGCCAGAAAACAATGAAGCTGGCCATGTGGAAGGATTAGGAACATTCTGAATAAGGAGCATTCTGCCCAAAAGTTTTATTAGGAGAGGACATTAACACCAGTCCTTTATGGATCCCCAAAGCCCAATATATTAGCATTGGGAGAGGAGGTATCCACAGTATTCAAACGCACAGTGGCCCTGAAAATTCAGGACCCAGAGAGAGACACTCTCCTCTGACCTTACTCCTCCAGCTCTCAGATAATCAACTAATAGAGTCAAAATAACCCAATCACGAAGTAATACATGCACATGGCAAAAACACAATGGATATCCTATTTGACAGAATTCTACATCAGCTGTTCTGTCAAGATGATAATGAAACATCAGACAATCTGTGAGAATACTATGCCAAGGAGGAGAAATACAAATCGGGCTCCTCCATTCTTCATGGAAATTAGAAGAGTCTAAACTAATCAATTAGCTCGGCATCCCCCCCTGCCTCCACCCCTCTCTGCATTATCATTCCTCTTCTTGAAATTTCCCGGGACTCCACTTACTGTTCTGTGATCGCAGATAGCAAATGAAAATCAAGTTCTCTGCTGAACACGAGGGAAACTTTACATTGTAATGTAAGATGAACTGATTAAGGGCACTTCATCAATGAACAGCTAATTCTTCAAACCTTGAAGCAGAGTCAGATGAAATGTCAGGAAGGAGGAATGCAGCTTAGTTTTGATCACACAGAAGAATGGATTCTGGCACTCAGCAGGCTGCCTCATTAACAATTACAGTAACTCAGCTGTTCTTTCCAAAGTAACGCTCTGCAAGTTAGAATGAAGACCCAGTGTTTGGGGACCCATGGTAGAAAGTATACCCTTCCTCTTAGGAGACAAGTTGCAGGGCTTTGAGAATACCCTAAGAGATGCCAGGGAGCACAGAGAGAAGAATGGCTTATCTTTCTAAGGCAAAGTTCATCTTACCCAAATTCTCACACCTTGGAAAGGGAATGCAAACTGAGATATATTTAAAATAAATTTATTATAAAATATGGTTAACAATCCCCAGTGACCAAACAGAAAGAAGGTCTCAGAACTGCCTTTCACTCTTAAAAATTACTGTGGACACCCTAAAAGCTTTGCCTATGCGAGTTACATCTATCGATATTTATTATATTGGAAAATGTTAAGCTACGATATTTTTAAAACAAGAATATCCTAGCCCGGCCAGTGTGGCTCAGTGGTTGAGCATCGACCCATGCACCAAGCGGTCGCTGGTTCGATTCCCCGTCAGGGCACATGCCCAGGTTGTGGGCCTGATCCCCAGGAGGGAGCATGCAGGAGGCAGCCAATCGATGTTCTCTCTCACTGATGTTTCTCTCTCTCTCCCTTCTTCTCTCTTTAAAATCAGTAAAGAAAAAAAATTAAAAAATAAAAAGAATATTCTAGCACACACTAGTAGGCCATGATGCCATCACATATCGTGTAGCCTCTGGAAAACTCCACCATGCACGCGTGCGAGAATAAGGCAAGAAAAAGGCGAATAAAGATCTCAGCTTTCTTTTGAAAACAGTTTTGCCTTTAGGAACTCCCAGAGGTCCCCAGACTGCCCTCTGAGAAGCGTTGGCCTAGAGTCCTGTCTGGCTGACACAGAGGCAGACGCCTAAGACATGTCAGCTATTCCAAGAACCACTTCTGTCGTAAAAACGAAACACTCTCTGTATCAATGAAAAGTCTGCAAAATGATTTCTCACTATTTTTTGTGGATTCCATACCTTGGCTTTGTATCTATGAAACAGGAAAATCGCAATGCTTTCCCTCACCACCATGGGAAGAAATTAATAAATACTACGTTTTATAGATTCCTCGATGAAAGAGGTTAGGAAATACAAATCATGATTTGTGTTGATGCTGTTATTAGCTTAGTCTAGGAGGCTCTCTCTCGGAAAACCTGGAAAAGCTTAGCTAACCATTGCTTTCTGACTTTTGCCAACTCCCAGGGAATTCTGGCCTTCCCTGGAAAACAAACTACTATCTCTGGGGAAACCGCTGAAGAAAGTCTGTTGCAAGTAGCCAGCTTAGGGAGGTCATGCTTGGGACCATGCTGTAAAGGAAAATAAATCTCTCTCTCTCTCTCTCTCTCCACACACACACACACACACACACACACACACACACACACTTACACAATGACAGATGCCAGTTTTATAAGAACTTCAGCGACTTTCTGGTAGCAGACAGGACAACTGGCTCTTGAACCTGCGACAGTTCCCACATCTGTTTTATGGCCTCTGCTAGCACAGAGGACTTCCTGCTCCCACAGGATTGTGCAATGTCTCTACCAAGAGACTGGTCTGCCTGAGCACCTGCTTGCCCTTCAACAAACACTGCCCGCAGGCAGGAGATCCCAAGAGGCAGTTTACTTAGTGGTTAGCAGCGGGACCTCCTGGGTTCAAATCCCGGCTTGCCCACTTGCCAGGTGGTGTTCGGGGAGTTACTTAATTTCTCCGTGCCTTTGTTTCCCCAAGTATAAAAAGGGACAATAACAGTATTTACCTGATAAGATCTTTGTAGAAACCAAAAGGGCTAGGTGTCTAAGACACACTGTGAGTACTCAACCAATGCCAGTTACCCTTATTCCTTCTTTTCCTATGTAAAAGGTATTCCAAAACTCTCAAGTGATTTTAAGCTCAAACTTCAGAAGTACAAGAACTACAAACTTACCAAAAAACAAACAAAATGCCATTGAAATGGTAAACGCTGCCTGACAAAAATGAAACTCATGTACTGATCTCATAGTGGGGTGGGGAATAAGATGAATATACAAATAATTCGTACAAAAAGAATAACGTTTCCCACTAAGACTTAACTCAATGAACATTTATTAAGCACCTGCCATGTACCTGGCTTGTACTAGGTGCCAGGGAGATAAGAAGAAACTGAAGTGTCCAGCCAACGAGGGCTTACACAGTCTAGTGGGGACGGGCATGGAGTTAGATCAATATCGCATGTGTCCTGCTGTTATTAAAGCTCAGCTACGCTTAGCCCCGGCGAGGGCAGAGGAAACGGGGAAGGCATTGTCTTTGCTGACACTGGGAAAACTTTTTTTTTCTACCAGCGAAGTGAATTTTTCCTTTCACTAGTCATTAATTCTGTCCATCCACAAGAAGCCCGTCTATCTACAGCTCTCCCATGTCACTAGCCATCCATTCGATCTTATCGAGCTTTTCCGTCTTTGTGAATCGTAAACTGTCCTTTCAACATCCCTAATGACAAGCATTTCGACTCATACATTCTATTTATATGTCACAGTAACATGCCTCTGATTTAGATGTCAACTTCCAGTAAGTAACATTCAAGACATGTACAAAACAAACAAAAAGCACAAAGAAGTAAAAATAACTCTTAAAGCCATGGCTACTTTACATAAACTTCAGTGCCCTTCGGAGAGTTTCTCAGGCTACAGTTACTTTTATATTTGACACACATATATAGTGAGTTTATTCATCATTTTTTTTCACTACCAGATTAGATGTACACAAATCTGAAGAGTAAATTGAAAATATAATGCTCAGTTTCATGAATTCTCTAAAGTTACAAGCCAGTACTACTTGGTT